CATGTTTTTCGGAGATTATCGATTATGAAGAAACGAACATTTCCATTTATATATATATATATATATATATATATATATATATATATATATATATATATATATATATATATATATATATATATATATATATATATGTCGTACCTAGTAGCCAGAATGCACTTCTAGGCCTACTATGCAAGGCCCAATTTGCCTAATAAGCCAAGTTTTCATGAATTAATTGTTTTTCGACTACCTAACCTACCTAACCTAACCTAACCTAACTTTTTCGGCTACCTAACCTAACCTAACCTATAGAGATAGGTTAGGTTAGGTTAGGTAGGGTTGGTTAGGTTCGGTCATATACCTACGTTAATTTTAACTCCAATAACAAAAAATTGACCTTATACATAATGAAATGGGTAGCTTTATTATTTCATAAGAAAAAAATTAGAGAAAATATATTAATTCATGAAAACTTGGCTTATTAGGCAAATTGGGCCTTGCATAGTAGGCCGAGAAGTGCGTTCTGGCTACTAGGTACGACATATATATATATATATAAATGGACCCTTCGCCTGCGAGTGGAGGACACAGAGCACTGGGGGTACAGTGACTCCCGCGTGTCACTGTTGACCGCGAGGCTCGAGGCACAGTAGGTCCTACGAGAGTCTTAGACACTGTGTCAATAGCTCGCATTTCGACTCATCTCCCCCTGAAGGAGGTCTTGAAGGATTTTGTGTAGTAAGTAGGTCGCGCTTCTTCCTATGGGTGCGTGTTGCGGCAGAGGGCCGGGGCGGTGCTCCGGGAAACATCCAGGGCTCAAGGTTGTGGTGTTGGGGGTCTGCCCTGAGCCCCGGGTGCTCGGGGAACACCCAGGGCTCAAGGTTGTGGCGTTGGGGGTCTGCCCTGAGCCCCGGGTGATCCGGGAAACACCCAGGGCTCAAGGTTGTGGTGTTGCGGGGTCTGCCCTGAGCCCCACGAGGACTCTTTCACTGCGCTCAGTCCCTTCACAACACCACCGTCGGAGCCTAATATGTTTTAATAATTTAAAAAATGATTGTTGATAAGCTGCGTATAATGATATTGCCTCCTAAGTTGCGTTAGGTTTTGATAGACTGAATTAAGTTAGGTTAGGCTACGTAACGTTTCCCTCGGTTAGTTTAGGATTGGTTACGTTAGATTAAGTTATGTTAGGCTAGGCTACGTTAGGTTGGACATGTTAGGTCAGGTGGTTTAGTTATGTCAGGGTAAGTTAGGTTCGTAAAGTCATAGGCCAATGGCCTGTCAGGATCATTGCATCCACCTGACCTCTGTTGCACCACAAGGCGATCACTGGCAAGGAGTTGCACTGACCCCCTACCCCTCCCCCTCCCCCCCTAGTGTTTATACACAGCAGAGTCAGCTACTCCCCTCAGTGTATACTCACGGAGGATGTATACTCAGTGTATACTCTTTCTCTGGGTACACATAAGCCACATGTATGTAACTGTTGAATGTGTCTACCTGAGATGTGTAACTGGGGTAGGGGGGGGGGGGGCTCTTTATTATTATCTTCAACTTTATTGCTTAGATGTTTTATGGGATTCTTCCATTCCCAGAACTCCCACAGAGGTGGGACTCCCACAGAGGTGGGACTCCCACAGAGGTGGGACTCCCACAGAGGTGGGACTCCCACAGAGGTGGGACTCCCACAGAGGTGGGACTCCCACAGAGGTGGGACTCCCACAGAGGTGGGACTCCCACAGAGGTGGGACTCCCACAGAGGTGGGACTCCCACAGGGGTTGGACTCCCACAGAGGTGGGACTCCCACAGGGGTGGACTCCCACAGGGGTGGGACTCCCACAGGGGTGGACTCCCACAGGGGTTGGACTCCCACAGGGGTGGACTCCCACAGGGGTGGACTCCCACAGGGGTTGGACTCCCACAGGGGTGGACTCCCACAGGGGTTGGACTCCCACAGGGGTGGACTCCCACAGGGGTGGACTCCCACAGGGGTGGACTCCCACAGGGGTTGGACTCCCACAGGGGTGGACTCCCACAGAGTAACTAAAAGAGACAAAATCACACACAAACCGGTTTAAATATAGATACCACAGAAACTTACTAGCTAGAACACCATTCCATTCCAGCCAACAGTTGAGAATGCGGAGCCCAAGAGCTGACACCATGTACTGCAGCCACACTTAGGTGAGTACCCTCTGAGTACACTCTGAGTACCCTCTGAGTACCCTCTGAGTACCCTCTGAGTACACTCTGAGTACACTCACCTCTGACCCCAGAGAGCGCTGGCACAAATGTTGTTTCAGGGAGGACAATGGGAACACCATTCTCTTCATGCCCAGATTAAATGCTCAGGTTTCTTACTTATATATCAATATTTAGAGTCAAACACATTCGTATTTAACAACTTAAAGTAAAGGTGGACTTGAGTTTAACTAGTGGCGTCATCTTTGTTGTGAGTGAACACACATTCCGCTATGTCTTGTTGAAGAACTGAGGGAAGACAATACTGTAAACATAGTATTGTTTAGTGTAAGAATATGATGAAGAAGAGCAAGTTTTTGGGAACGTTGCAGCCCCTGAGACTAGCCATGTAGTCTGTCAGGCTGGCCCAGGGCTACTGGGAGCAGCAGCACATGTAGTCTGTCAGGCTGGCCCAGGGCTACTGGGAGCACCACACACTTAGTCTGTCAGCCTGGCCCAGGGCTACTGGGAGCAGCAGCACATGTAGTCTGTCAGCCTGGCCCAGGGCTACTGGGAGCAGCAGCACATGTAGTCTGTCAGGCTGGCCCAGGGCTACTGGGAGCAGCAGCACATGTAGTCTGTCAGCCTGGCCCAGGGCTACTGGGAGCAGCAACACATGTAGTCTGTCAGCCTGGCCCAGGGCTACTGGGAGCAGCAGCACATGTAGTCTGTCAGCCTGGCCCAGGACTACTGGGAGCACCACACACTTAGTCTGTCAGCCTGGCCCAGGGCTACTAGGCCAGGGCGAGGAGGAACAGTGACCTCACACACTCGGCAACGACGTCTTGCCAAGTGTGAGGTCACAGAGAGGGAATTCTTAACTCCTGAGAGGTGTGAGACGTCACCAGCGGGGTCACGCTGGGCTAAGACTTGGAGAACCAGTATAGCAAGGGAGAAGTGGGGCCCAAGAGCTGAACTCCACTCCAGGAAGTCCAGGTAGGTGCGTGCACTCGCACACACACTCACCTCCCATACATTTACTAAAAGAGTTTAGAGAGAGTGAATAAAAGAGTGTGAGGGAGAAAGTCGACGAAGATAACCAAGACAGCGTCGTATTACAAGACAGACAGACACAGATTGATTGACTGATGAAGATTAAGCCAGCCAAGAGGTGGCACGGGCGTGAATAACCCGTAAAGACACACAGGCTAGTGGTATGATCTTATAGTGGCCAGCGATGAGGATAACAGCGCTTACGCTGACATCTAGACAAGATAGCGAACCATGCCAGATATCTTGCCCTATCCTACGGGGGGGGGGGTGAACGTGTCTGGTTATCATTGTTATTGTTATCTATCAGGTATTCTTCTTATAAGTTCTGCACCTGGACCAAGCGCGTGGACACCCAGAAGACGGCACTAACTACACAAGACGCTCAGCCATCAACAGCCTCACCCCGACTGTCTCGCATTTACGACACGTAATTATTAGTGACCGCAAATCACCTGAATACATGAAGACGATGGTTCACCGAAGGCTTCAAGCACCTTCCCCCCAGCACCTCACATGACTGCACCAACATCAACTATAGCTCAAATGTAAAATATAAATACACTCGTGAAATATTAGTTTCTAGGGAACAAATCCACAATGGCCGTGACGAGGATTCGAACCTGCGTCCGAGAGCATCCCAGACGCTGTTTTAATCGACTGAGCTACGACATGGTCAAAAAAGTGTTATTTGTTTCTAGGACCAATCTTCATATATAAGGTGAAGCAGCATTATAGCTCTTTGTTGTTCCCGCTGAACCACTGTCTTAGTCTAGAGAGAGAAGAGAAGACAGGAAAGGAGGGAGAGAGAGAGAGAGGGAGAGAGAGACAGAGAGAGAAGAGAGACAGACAGACAGACAGACAGGGAGAGGGGTAGCTACAGTAGCCGAAATAAAAGTATTGAGGAAATGTCAAAGGTCTAAGCAGTAGGTCACGAATCCCCCCCCTCCCCCCTCCCCCCCTCTCTCTCTCTTCCTCTTTTCCTCCCCTCCCCTCCACTCCCCTCTCCTTGACCCCTCCCCCCTCTCCATCCCCCCCCTCCCTCTCTGTTTATCTCAGACAAACAACGTTTCAGAGTCGGACACAGATGCAGAGATCGATAATTCGACACGTTCATCGATAGATAATTCGATTAGTAGACATCTAATTCGATAGACATATATATATATATATATATATATATATATATATATATATATATATATAGATAGATAGATAGATAGATAGATAGATAGATAGATAGATAGATAGATAAATTATATATAAAAATCAGTAAATAGATAGTAAGAATATTTTCAGTCTCACACTCTCAAGACTCAGGCAAATGTGTTGTTACACACACACACACACACATACACACACACACACACACACACACACACACACACACACACACACATACACACACACACACACAAAATGGAATAGTAAGGACAATGAGACAGTGAGAGAGATCCTAACGGGAGCTACAGATGGAAGGAGCTGAACCATAGAGAAAGTAAGTATACCATCAGAATGGATGGATTCCAAGTTGGGAGTCGAGTAACCCATCCTCCAGGTGAACCACCCAACGCCAAAGGACACTTAAATTATGAACACAATTTGGGTAAGTTTAGATTCAGAAAGATCTGGGTAAACACTGATTTATAAAGAGCTTTGCCATGAGGACCGCGTAAGAGGCCACGTAAGAGGCCGCGTAAGAGGCGTTGGGGGCCACTGAGCAGAGTCATGACTAATATGAGCTGCCATGTACAGGAGTGCCGTTTATTCTCGCGCCCTCCGGCAGGTTATCATGGGCGGGGGTCGCCGAGTGCTGCTGCCGAGCGACGTGTTGGACGTGGAGGAGAACAGCTACGGCTACCGCAAGGACGGCAAGAACCTCATCCAGGCGTGGCAAGACGACAAGGCTGGCCGGGGCGCGCGCGCCTCCTACGTCTGGAACAGAGACGACCTGCTGGCCCTTGACACCTCCAACACCGACTACCTCCTGGGTGAGTCCCGGCGCCTGTCCGCATCTTTTAGCTCTATTTCCTCTATTTACCCCCATTTTTGTATCTTATTTCACCATCATTATCTATTTACCCCCATTTTTGTATCTTATTTCACCATCATTATCCCTTATTTCTTCTTTCTTGTCAAACCATCGCATCTCTAGTTTCCACGTAGTTTATCATTTCTTTTCTTATCTCCGGTTTGACCATTCTCATTCCTCATCTGGTGGGTGTGTTCCCCGGCCATGTTTATGAGGCGTGTCCTTGTGTGGTGCTGCAGGAGTGTTCGGGTACAGCCACATGGACTACGTGGTGGAGCGGGACAGTGCTATGGACCCCAGCCTCCCAGAGATGACCAAGGCGGCGCTGGAGGTTCTTCAGAGAGACTCCAACGGCTACTTCCTCCTCGTCGAAGGTGAGGCCCGTCACGCCACGCTTCAGCTTTGTGGCTGTCGACGGTGGAAACGCGTATAAAATTATATACCTTAACTTTAACAAGGCCTTTAATACACACAGATATCACAATAGCGTGATGCATCGATGAACAAATCCACAAGGACCGTGACGAGGATTCGAACCTACATCTTAGAGCATTCCTGCTCTCTCTGGAGCTGAGAGCATTCCAGAATGCTCTCAGACATAGGTTCGAATCCTCGTCACGGCCCTTGTGGATTTGTTCAAGGCCTTTAATAGTTTGCCTCAGCGAGACTGATTAAAGAGCAAATCTAATAATGTTTTGGACTAAACTAAAATAGGGCTGGAGATTAGTTCAGATGATGACTCAAAACTGCTTCAGGACGACTTAGTACACATTTAAACTGGACGAATAATTGACAGATACAGTTTACTGCTAACATATGTTGGGTTATGAGTGCGGGAAGTGTTATATGTTACCAGATATTAGCTAGAGAGTTGCGTCGCGGGTGCTAACTGAATGACAGACAGTAAATTGTACTCAAAAACTAAAACAAATGCAACAAGACAGTCCGACAAGGTCTCCAGGCACATAACGCATACTTGATTCAGCGATTTACCACCTGAGCCACCTCTTTCCCCGCACGCCAGGAGGACTGATCGACCTGGGTCACCACGGCAACAAGGCGCAGAAGGCACTGAAGGAGACGGTGGAGATGGAGGAGGCGGTGGCCATGGCGAAGGCCATGACCAGCGCGGAGGACACCCTCATCGTGGTGACGGCCGACCACGGCCACTCCCTCACCATCAACGGCTACCCCTCCAGGCACACAGACATCCTAGGTGAGCCTTTTCATATTGCCTCCCCCTTCCTTCTTCCCATGCTTAGTCCTTCCAGGATAAACACCAGATCATCACAATGTTTCTTTTCCTGAAGAACATTTTACCCTTCAAGAGCCAGTGTACCACTCCAGAGGCCGCTTTTCTCTTCAGGAACTGCTGCCTCTACCAAAGATCCTTGATCTTCCGTTTTTGTATTGTTTAAAAACAGATTTCCCTTCATTATCCGGGTTTTCTTGCAAGAATCGCTGTGTTCCAGAATCTATTTTCCTTTCCTTTCAAGAACCTATTTTCTTCAAGAGCTCCTTCCAATTAAAAGCCACTTTCTCCTAAGGAGCCCCTTTCCCTTTAAGAAACTATTCCCTTCAGGACCGCTCTTGTTTAAAGAATCATTCTTCATTAAATTGTCTTCGTTGTTCAAGTGCCTCTTTTCCCTGCGAGGAAGCCCTTACACCAAGAAGACTTTCCTAGCAAGAACTTATACGGCCCAAAAACTCCTTTCCCAAAACACCAAAGTTATTAATATCATTGATGTTATGTTTGTATTTCAGTTATGAGCGTTTTCACTACTTCTAAATGAACTTTATATCAAAATTATAATAACTAGTATATTGATTATCATGAATATAATAACAAATAATTACCAGACATAGTTAATTATCGTATTATTAATATTAATAACAAAATTAATTCCGTCTGAATAATATTAACACTATTTGCAATAATAATAATAATAGTGGTAGCTATAATTAATTTATTCTGTGATGAAACTTGCTATATACCTCCTATATATGCTCTCTCTCTCTCTCTCTCTCTCTCTCTCTCTCTCTCTCTCTCTCTCTCTCTCTCTCTCTCTCTCTCTCTCTCTCTCTCTCTCTCTCTCTCTCTCTCACGAAGCGTGTGTTACAGGTATAGGAGACATCAGCAGCGAGGACTTCCTGCCCTACACCACCCTCCTATACGGCAATGGTCCGGGCTTCCAGCCTCAGGTCAACGGCCACAGAAAAGACGTCTCCAGTGATGACCTCAGTGAGTGGTTACGGGGGAGGCTGTGTGGTGGGGGTGGAGCCGGGTGTGTGTGTGTGTAGTGGGGGTGGAGCCTGGTGTGTGTGTGTGGTGGGTGGAGCCTGGTGTGTGAGGTTTGGGGGCCCGTTTTTTATTATTATTATTTTCTACCACAGACGTCGCTAGACATTTACAATGCTAACCAGCATATATACATTTTCTTCTGTCCTCCATGGACAGGGTGAGAGATCTGTTAAACATATAGTTCAGGAATTTATTGAACAGTCAACCACAGAAGGTGATTGTAGTGCTTTTAAAATGCTAAGCTAACCTACATACGTAAATACATTGATACACAGATTTACGTATGCCCTACATAAAGTGTTCGATGTGTCTTTTACATAGTGTCATTAATGTGCATTTACAAAGGTGAAATGTAATTCTGATCAGCTTCCACATATACTTTATACACATACAGACATATACATATGCACATATATATTATGCACATACATAATGTGCATATACATATTTAGGCGGGACCAAAGAGCCAGAGCTCAACCCCCGCAAACACAACTAGGTGAGTACACATATACATATATACATACACATATACACACACATACATGCACATACATTTATGGCTCTCCTACTCTGAGAGGGTAAGATAGCTGATAGAGAAACTAGTGTTATTAAGCACTTAACCACTGAAGGTGATTAATAACATCACCTTCAGTGATGTTATTAATCATAACATCATAATAACATGATTATTAATTAAAGTAATAATCACTTTAATGTGCGCTCGCGCCCCGTGAAAAAAATAGAGCATTGTGCACGCGGCGTTTTGGGCTCTTGAGCGTAAACACCAAAAAGTGTGTAACCTTTTCACTCTCCTGACACCAATTCTCGAGCTACGTATTTCATTTTGGTGTCAATGTGTTGGCAATAAAATTCTCTACAAGATCATATGTATAACATGTCACCAAAGCATTAGCTATCCCACCACGAAATAAATAAAACGTAGATCCCTCGCCGTGACGCCCAAACAGCAACAAAATGTTCATACTCTTTTGTTTGTTCTCAGCTCCACATTAGTCCTACAGCGTTATATTTTATATCACTGAACTCGCAATAAAATTCCCTACTCAGACATATGCATGTAAATGTAGAATCATGATCGCGGCCCACACCAAGAGTGTGTGAATTGGGCGATTACCCTCGTTGTGTCACCAACTCAATAGTCTCTCCTCTAAGTTACAATACAATGCCGTTTTCTCAAATAGGCCATGTGCCTATTAGAGAAAACGGAAATTTAATGGCAAACATTTTCATACTAACCCCAAGTCGATCGAATAAGAATTGGATTTTATATGTTTTTTTTTAGATCAGCCGGCTATTTACGGCGCGGTTGCGGAACCCGTTAGCCAAGTGGGCCGTATATTTACATTTACGGTCCGGTTGCGTTAAAGTGTTTTAGATGCTTTTACAAGCTCAGGTTATATAGCTACATGGAGCCGGGTGTGAGGTTAAGGGGGGGGGAGCCGGGAGTGGGGTTATGTACCCATTTGTTACCGCCTCAGCCGGGGATCGATCCCCGGACCCTAGGGCTACGAATCCCGAGCGCTGTCCGCTCCGTACAATAACCAGCACAATAACCTAAAGTGAAAATTGCTCCGTCTCCTCAGACGATGTGAACTACCGGCACGCCTCCACCATACCTCTAGACTCTGCCGCCCACTCCGGGGACGACGTCGCCCTGTACGCCACGGGGCCCCACGCCCACCTCTTCACGGGAGTCCACGAGCAGAGCTACATCCCCCACGCCCTCGCCTACGCTGCTTGCGTCGGGGACGGCCTCACCTTCTGCGGCAGCAACCGCTTCAGGAGGAACCACGCGCAGCAGCAGAGCAGCCGGGGCAAGGCAAGATGGCGGTCGCACGGATGATCCTCATTGGTCGGAGAGATTGTGGGAGTATCCCTCATTGGTCACAAAACACTGAGTTGGGAGGGTGGTGATTGGTCGGGGAGAGACCCATGAGTGGTTAGGAGCATCACACGAACTTCTCTGATTGGTCATAACGTCAAACCAGTAACATGTCATCAATTTGGTCGTTAATTATTATTTATTTATTGTTCAGCCATTCAGGGATGAGCATTATAACTTGATGGTGATGCAAAAAATTGATTTGAAAAATAACAATTAGAAAGTCAGTTCGAGCAACGAGGTGACTGGAAGCAGCCACCAGTGTACTCCCAGCCGCTCACCTTACCCCTGTACCACGACCTGGTGTAACTTGTATACCCTCGGAGTCCACTGAATGTTGACCAGACCACACACTAGAAAGTGAAGGGACGACGACGTTTCGACAACCATGTTTCGTTTCCATTCTCACTTGAGAATGGTCCAGGACGGACCGAAACGTCGTCGTCCCTTCACTTTCTAGTGTGTGTAGTCTGGTCAACATATTTCAGCCACGTTATTGTGACTCATCGTCCACTGAATCCTTGGGAAGTCTGAAGGCTTCTACTGAAGCCAGTCCAAGTTTTGTATATAACCCGCCATGCACTCTGGTGCAGGTAAAGTAGTTTATCAACCGCGTACGCTTAAGCTATACCCAAAAACAATATCACACCAACGTCACGTCATGGTACAGGGGGTTAAGGTGGGTGGTCGAGAGTACCCTGATTGCTGATTCCACTCGCCTCAATGCTCCAGTTGAATTCCTCATTGATATATCCCGCTAGTGTGATATATTTGTGTATGTGGAGGAGACGTGGGCGTGTAAAGTCATTGATGAGGATGTGGAGACGCTTCTAACTGATAACTAACTCTCCTCAGTCCTCAGTCACCTCACAAAGATGTCAACGAAACTCCACTCATCCCCCTCCCCCCCCCGTTCCTAGATATAGAAAAAACACAAAAATATACTATATGTGTATATGTATATACACATATACACACATACAAATATATATATATATATATATATATATATATATATATATATATATATATATATATATATATATATATATATATATATATATATATATATGCGAACAAGCCTGAATGGTCCCCAGGACATATGCAACTGAAAACTCACACCCCAGAAGTGACTCGAACCCATACTCCCAGAAGCAACGCATCTGGTATGTACAAGACGCCTTAATCCACTTGACCATCACGACCGGACATAATGAGGTGATAGCCGAGGCTATTTGAACCACCCCACCGCCGGCACTCGGATAGTTATCTTGGGCATAGCATTTTACCAAATCACCTCATTCTTTGGGGCAACACGTGAGGAACACAAATGCGAACAAGCCTGAATGGTCCCCAGGACATATGCAACTGAAAACTCACACCCCAGAAGTGACTCGAACCCATACTCCCAGAAGCAACGCATCTGGTATGTACAAGACGCCTTAATCCACTTGACCATCACGACCGGACATAATGAGGTGATAGCCGAGGCTATTTGAACTGAAATCTGAATCTGAATGAGGTGATTTGGTAAAATGCTATGCCCAAGATAACTATCCGAGTGCCGGCGGTGGGGTGGTTCAAATAGCCTCGGCTATCACCTCATTATGTCCGGTCGTGATGGTCAAGTGGATTAAGGCGTCTTGTACATACCAGATGCGTTGCTTCTGGGAGTATGGGTTCGAGTCACTTCTGGGGTGTGAGTTTTCAGTTGCATATGTCCTGGGGACCATTCAGGCTTGTTCGCATTTGTGTTCCTCACGTGTTGCCCCAAAGAATGAGGTGATTTGGTAAAATGCTATGCCCAAGATAACTATCCGAGTGCCGGCGGTGGGGTGGTTCAAATAGCCTCGGCTATCACCTCATTATGTCCGGTCGTGATGGTCAAGTGGATTAAGGCGTCTTGTACATACCAGATGCGTTGCTTCTGGGAGTATGGGTTCGAGTCACTTCTGGGGTGTGAGTTTTCAGTTGCATATGTCCTGGGGACCATTCAGGCTTGTTCGCATTTGTGTTCCTCACGTGTTGCCCCAAAGAATGAGGTGATTTGGTAAAATGCTATGCCCAAGATAACTATCCGAGTGCCGGCGGTGGGGTGGTTCAAATAGCCTCGGCTATCACCTCATTATGTCCGGTCGTGATGGTCAAGTGGATTAAGGCGTCTTGTACATACCAGATGCGTTGCTTCTGGGAGTATGGGTTCGAGTCACTTCTGGGGTGTGAGTTTTCAGTTATATATATATATATATAGAGTACTCACTTAGTTGTGCTTGCGAGGGGTTGAGCTTCGGCTCTTTGATCCCGCCTCTCTACTGTCAATCAACTGGTGTACAGGTTCCTGAGCCTACTGGGCTCTAACATATCTACACTTGTAACGTGTGTGTGTGTGTGTGTGTGTGTGTGTGTGTGTGTATTATCCCTGCCCCCTTAGTGTAGATAGTCCGTGTAGAGATAACACAATAGAAAGATATATTTATGCATATTAAAATGGTAAAACTTGTTCTTATTTTCATTCATTCCAACCTGTATGCATCAACAAATAATTATAATAACAACAATAATAATAATTATACTCATAAAATATACCTCAGAACATATTTCAGTGATATATACTTATTGGTATAAAGTTTATATTAAATAAAGTCTAATACGTAAGAAACTATTTACGAGAAGTAAACTAACTTACAGGAATTTTTCAAGAAATTTAGCAAATATACAATACAGGTGATAATGATGATAGACTACTTTATTATACAACATGTAGTTTTAGCAACAGTACAGATACAACATTTAACTTTAACAGTAACTACATCAACACAACATTGGCTTATGTTAGAGCAATATTTAGCGCCCTCTGATTATCCCGCACATTTGATGGTGCTACACAGCCTTCCCGGCTTGGTGCCTTCTCTGATAATGACTTATGTTAGAACATGAGGTGTATTGTACTTCTCGGTGTTCATAACACTTAACACTTCACTTTAGTCCTGAAGTGTGTTCCTCTCCTGATGTGATGATGTGATGAGCCTTAAGCCCACCATGAACCGCACCTGTAGCCACACTGGTCACCTCAGTGGTCTAGTGTGTGTACACTGTCTTAGAGGGAACTAAAATGTACTACAAGCTGTGGATACCAAATGCCATATACAAGTAAACTAAATGTTGTTCATGAATGTACTAAAGACTGTGCTAGATGGGTTAGACATGTATATGGATGAGTTTGGGGTAGATATAAATAGGAACTGCCACATATAGGCCAATATGCCTTCGGCAGTATTATTAATTCTTATATTCTAAATTAGTTTTTCTTTTTCGTGTAGCAATTTTTGTGATTAACTGAGGATTCTATACCACTATGGGGAGTACCCCTCTGGAGTGAATGAATGTGACACAGTACACAGTTATAAGGTAGGAAAGACTAGACCACAAAGGGGGTTTGATACCAAGTAATATCCTCCTGTTAGTTCGAGTAAGAATCCAACAGCCTTGACTTCCTGTTCCTGATTATAAGTAGGAGAGGGGAGTGGGGATGGGGGGAGGGTCTAGTAATTGTTTACTGGCGTAGTGTTATAATGGAGGGTAATGGTGTAGATGAGGACATGTTGCATGTCCTCATCTGATGTTGGTACATAGGAAGAGAAGGGATGGGAACTATCAGGAGAAAGCAGCAAGCCATTACGACTATATATCACTTAAGGTTCGTAGGAGAAAAACTCACGTTAACCAACGTCTTCGTACAAGGAACTGTTCTTGCATACGTCGCCTTTTTTAATTTTACAGCAGAGATGTCACCAGGGATCTCAACGCACCTCGGATAATTATCATAACAAGGAACACATACACACGAATATAAGGCTCCCCGGCCTACACATCAGAAAATAAAGGAAGGGAGGACGGTCTGGGTCGCCCTGGACCATTATATCACGTGTAAAACATGATTGATTGACTGATGAAGATTAAGCCACCCAAGAGGTTGCCCTGGCATGAATAGCCCTTAAGTAAAGCGTGGTGGAGAAAGTTGATATATAAGGTAAGAATGTTGGGTGAAAGGTAAGAAGGTAAAGTACCACTCTTGCTTTATATGTCTTACTAGTGCTACAGGATGGACCCGCGCCATCTCTTGGGTGGCTTAATCTTCATCAGTCTACAGGATGGATCAAAACCTGATCACAAAACCAATTAAGGATATGGGGGGGGGGGCGGGGTGTGTGTAATGGTCAACCATGTTATTGTGACTTGCTGTCTGCATGGTCATAAAACTGTCATCCCGGACAGGCCCGAGTAGTTTATCCTGCTGTTGGATCTCCGCAGTGGGGGGATGTCCCTGATGATCGGGACCTCGTCGTGATGTTGCGGAAAGATGTGCGCCGGGGGGCCTCGGCTCCTGTGCCCGGTGGTGGGGTCGGTGCCGCGCCTGCATCCCCTCCTGTATCCCCTCCTTCCTTGCTCCGGTCTGGGGATTGCCTAGTCCCGTCTGCTGGGGTCGTGCCCTGTGAGGGTCTGGAGTTGGGCCCTTATCGGGATGCCCGGGTGCTTCCGATCCCGTGGCGCTCGTCCACTGTCTGGGTGTCGCGGGTGAAGGAGTTTGTGTATAAGGTGCCGGATAGGATGTCTCAGCCGAGGGCGTCGCCTGGTGGCCGGCTGCCCGCTGACCTGCGGGTGATTTGGGAAGCGTACTGCTTGCGCTTTCCGATACACAAGTTTCTGGAGAAGTATTAGTTCCCGTCTTGCGCACACTGCTAAGCCGTGCATGGATCAGCTGCCACCGTGACCACGACGCCCCGCCCCCCGGTGCGGGGAGTCTCCCTCTAACGTCCGCCTCTGTTTTCGTCGCCACTCCTCTCTCTACGGCCCATCACATCTCCCGCTTTTGACTTTCTTCTCCTGACCGTCAACGCGTCTCCTTACGTCTGTCCTGGTGCAGTCATCGGGAGGGTTACCCCTTCATGCAAACTGCACCTATTCTCAACAAGAAGATAAAACTGTCTGCCAGATAAATTCGTACTAAAAACAAAACGCATATATATATTTACACTAAATCCGCTGATCATAAAATTCCTGAAATTGTCCATATACACACTATACAACATGAACGTACATAATTGTTGCAATAACAATGATATCACTCAATATATGGCGAGCGTAATAACGGGAAGATTAGCGCCTCTGGTGGTCAGAAGGGTAACTGCTACAGTTTGACAGTTGTGACATTAAGGTTAGCGAGGGGCGGGTTCAGGCTCCGGCCAATGACGTCAGAAGGTAAACACAACTGTCAGGTGGCGGCAGCCGGCGTGGTGCCAACCGTGAGTTCGGACTCCTGGTTCAACCTTGACGCCGAGCGGACGTCTGGATACCTCCTCCGCCTGGGAGCCGCCGGATCACGTCCTGTTTTCGCGTTTTGGTTTTGCTACTGCCGTTTGGCTTCTCTCTTCAACGGTCCGGTTGTACGCCGCCTGGCGCACATATCGCCTTGGGTCACGGGATTGTTGATAGATTTTTTTAGGGGGCATGTTCTGGGTGGTTCTCCCGGCGGGGTGACGGTGTTCTGGGGCCCGGCTTGGCCGAGTGGTGCCGGGGGTTGGTGGGTCTTGGTGGGCTCCTGGTGTGCCCTCAGTCGTGGTGGGCGGCCGGCTTCTGCTCTGCCGGAGGACACTGGATGTCTTTTTGCGTTTTAGTTGAGGGCAGAGTTTTGGTTTTGCTACCTGGTGTTCTCTGTGTGGGGCGGGGCCTGTGCTTGTCACCCTGAGGGACTCCTGGGACTCCCCAATCATCTGCCTGACTGTACGTTTATTTGTCATATGGCATATTAGTTTCTAGTGATTGTCGTCACTCGTTTCACGTTTTGGCTTGGCGTTCCACCTCTCCAGGCTTCGCGATTCACCTTTAACGGGTACGCCGGGGCGCACCCGATCCCTCGATCGTCGTCGCCCCTAAATCAACAACAACAACCGTGAGTTCAATAAATCGGCGTTGAGG